TAGCCACCCCTGATCAGCCTCCCCCTCTCGGGCGGTCCCTAGCTGACTGGGATCCATCCCGAGCTGGCTGATCGGGTGGTGAAGAAATTAGTGCTAATGTCATAGACTGGCTCCTCTGCTGAGCCGGACCTCCCGTAAGGTGGGGGCAATATCTCCTGGTGGGGACAATATCTCCACACTCAAAGAAATTCCCCGGTGCTGGTGCTAGGGATTGAAGGGAGCCCCGAGCACCGGGATAACTGGTAGAAGGATCTGGCATAGACGAGCCCTAACCCGATGGAGCACGGGACAAACTCTGAGATGGGAGAGCACTGAGAGATGAATGGATCTGCTGATAACTGTGTGAACCATGGCCAGATGATGCACCATGGTGGACTGGGCGAGCCGTCTGAGCATGTCTGAAAGGATGACCCCTACCGTGGTAGAACTGCCCCCAGAAGGAACACTGCTAAATCCACCCTGTCCACGAGGCCTCTTGGCCTCCCTCTCAACCCTCTCCTGACTGTGAACCATCTCAATCTAACGCGTAATGTCGACAACCTCATCAAAAGTAGCACCAGACACTCTTTCTCTGGTCATAATCGCAGCTGTAAAGTGAGGCCATCTATAAACCTCCTAATCCTCTCCCTGTTTGTGGGAACCAACCTCCTAATCCTCTCCCTGTTTGTGGGAACCAACCAGATAGCATGATGGGCCAACTCTAAAAATCTCATCTCATACTGCGTCACAGACATATCACCCTGATGAAGCTGCTCGAACTGCCTGCGCAGCTCCTCTCTGCGGGACTGAGGCATGAACTTCTCCAGGAATAGATCGGAGAACTGCTACCAGGTAAGGGGTGCTGCGCCGACTGGCCTACGCCTCTCGTAAGCCTCCCACCAACTAAAGGCAACCCCAGAGAACTGAAAAGTAGTGAACGAGACCCCACTGGTCTCTAAAATACCTACTGTATGGAGTATCCTCTAACACCTGTCCAAGAAGCCATGTGCATCCTCTCCCTCGGTACCATTGAAAGATGGAGGCTGGAGTCTCCCAAACCTCTCCAATCGACGGTGCTCATCATCAGGCATGACGAGAACCACATAGTCCTGAGCAGCTACAACCGGCTGGGCTGGTGGTGCCCCCGGTATCTGGAATCCCTATACCACCTGCTCTGGTGTGCGGGCGGCGGGTGTCTAAGCACCTCCCCCGGCCTGAGAAGTGGTTGCTGCGGACGGAACAGAAACCACCTGAGCAAGACTGGTACATGCGGTTAAAATCTGAGCTAAGGCCTCCTGAAGCCCTAGAATCACAATAGACACAGGTGGTGCCTGAGCTGGTACATCAACAACTGGAATCTGGTCCTGATATGGGGCAACCAGTGGATTTGCAGGTACTACCCCAGCTGCTGTGCGGGCTCCAACTCTTCCCCTACCACGACCTCGGCCTCTCGCGGCCCTGACTGGTGGTACGAGTCCTCATCATCTGTGAGAGAATGAAACAACAGATGTTTAGTTACTAGAATCAACAGATTCGCACGACAAGAATTCAAGAATGTGGAGTTTCCTAAGGGTTCTGCAGCCTCTAGAAGATTAGTACAGACGTCTTCGTACCGATCCACAAGACTCCACTAAACCTGCTCATGACTCGTGAGACCTATGTAACCTAGGCTCTAATACCAACTTGTCACGACCCAAAACCTAACCCGTCGTGATAACGCCTATCATGATAATAGGCAAGCCGACCTTTCCAAAATACTTTCAAAATTTAACAGAAATAAATTAAGACATTTAAAATAATCGGAGTTTTTTTTATAAAAATGGGGGTATAACCCAAATAAAACATAAGTGCAGAAAAATAGCCCGACATCGGGGTGTCACTAAGTCATGAGCATCTAATAATCATTCTAGAAATAGAGTCTACTACATTATGTGCCAAATGCCAATACAAGATAGAAAAGATAATAAGAAAGGAGAAACAAGAACTGCGGACGCCGGCAACTACCTCTTAAGTCTTCGATAATCAGCCCGCCCACGAACTCAGTGACCGCCAGAACCGTACACACCTGGATCTGCACATGAAGTACAGGGTGTAGTATGAGTACAACCAACTCATCAAGTAACAGAATTAAATAAGGAACTGAGAAGCAGTAACGAACTATAATAATACATATCATTTCAAAAGTTTTCAGTAAAGAGTGAACATGCTTTCAAATCCGGTGGTATAAGTCAAATCAGTTCGAGCCCAAGTAAAACAGATATGAATCTTCCAAAAATTTCACAACAACATCAGATAGCAACTGAGTGCAACAATAAATAAAAGCAAGTACATCCTCTCAAGGCAGCGGTCCCTCAACTCATCTCATCAGCTGATACTCTCAGCTCTCAGCCCTCAATACACACTCTCAATAGGTATCTCCGCTCACTGGGGGTGTACAAACTCCGGAGGGGCTCCTTCCAGCCCAAGCGCTATATCGCTGCGGGGTGCAGCCCGACCCAATCATATAAGTAGACATAAGGCTCATTGCGGCATGAAACCCGATCCACAGTCCATAAATAGCCAGAAGGCTTGTTGCGGCGTGCAACCCGATCTATATACTCTCACATATTTCACAGCTTGGCACTCAGGCCTTATCTCAGTCACTAACCGCTCCAGCCCCTCAGGCTCACAGACTATCAAAATAATCGGCCCAAACAGAGAATACAACAAGTATCAACAAGAAATGAGAGGGAACAGAGATATAACACACAAGTAAGACCGTGACTGAGTACAAGACAATAATTAGCAGTCAATTCCACAAGTATACGACAGTTGCGGGTCCCAACAGTGATATCATAAGGCCTAAGCATGGTTTCTAATATGAAAGGCAGTCAATTGCTCAAAGGCAAGGAAAAACAAGTGATAACAATGGCTATTCGACTTTACAGTCTCACGGGACGGACCAAGTAACAATCCCTCATGGTACACGCTCACACGCCCGTCACCGAGCATGTGCGTCACCTCCAAATATTCACATTATACCAATTCTCGGGTTTCATACCATCAAAACTAGATTTAAAACTGTTAATTACCTCAAACCACGCAAAATCCTACTTCGCAATGCCTTTGCCCCTCGAATCAATCTCCAAACGCTCCGAATCTAGCCACAAGCAGTACGATATAATTAATATAGGCTAAAAGAATAAATTTCACAAGAAAAACACGACATTATAAGCCAAAATCCGAAATAGGCTCAAACCCGGCCCTCGGGCCCACGTCTCGAAATTCGATAAAAGTTACAAAACCCGAAAGCCCATTAACTCATGAGCCTAAACATACTAAATTCATCAAAATCTGACATCATTTGGTCCTCCAAATCTCCAAAATCCACTCTCCAATTCTCAAGCCCTAAACCCCCAAATTTCACTTCAAAATCTCGCTAATTAGGTGGAAAAATCAGTGAGGAATCAAGATTTATGATAAAAAACGAGTACAAGAAGCTTACCGCAATAATTCCCTCGAAAAGTTTCTCCAAAATCGCCTAAGTCCGAGTCTCAAATGGTGAAATAAGACTAAAATCGCGAACCCTTGCTTTTAAACCTTCTGCCCAGACTTTTTGCATCTACGAACCCACTATCGCATCTGCGACGCCGCACCTACGGAAAATCCATCGCAGGTACGGATTCCACTTAAAATCCTAGATTCCTCTCCTACGGCTACAAGACCACATCTCCGCCTATCGCAGGTGCGGGAATCCATCGCACCTGCGGCCATCCTTCGCACCTATGCCCAGCTGCCCGCATCTGCGACCCTCGCAGGTGCGGGAAAATCTTCGCACTTGCGTCTCCTACCCAGCTCCTTCTTGGCCGCATTTGTGGCTCCTTCTTCGCTTCTGCGGACTCGCACCTGCGGTTCCCATTCCGCAGGTGCGGTTACACCAGTAGCAGCAGCTTCAGCTGCATTTCCTTAACTCCCATCAAGCCGTTAACCACCTGAAATCACCTCGAAGCCTCCAGGACCTCAACCAATCATACCAACAAATCATATAACCCCATGCGAACTTAGTCGAACCTTCGAATCTCTCAAGACAACATCCAAACACCAATTACACCCGGATTCAAGCCTAAAGAACTTCTAAATTTCTAAATTCCACAAATGACAACGAAACCTACCAAACCATGTCAGATTGACCTCAAATTTTGCACACAAGTCATATTCAACATTACAGACCTATTCCAACTTCTGAAATCGGAATCCGATCCCGATATTAAAAAGTCAACCCCCCGTCATACTTCCCAAAAATTTGACTTTCGCCATTTCAAGCATAAATTAGCTACATACCTCAAATTCACAGTCCGGACATGATCCCAAGTCTAAAATCACCCAACGGAACCTACGGAACTCCATTCCGGAGTCGTCTTCACGCAATTCCGACTACAGTCAAAATCCTGAGACTTAAACTTCCGTTTTAGGGACTAAGTGTCCCATAACACTCCGAAACCAAAACAAGACCTCCCGACAAGTCACATAAGCCGAAACAGATACGGGGAAAACAGTAAAATAGGGGATCGGGGCTAATACACTCAAAACGACCGACCGGGTCATTACAGAATCTTTCTTTATGTGTAAGAACATCAATGTATCAGGCTATCAGCTAGTAATCTGGATGTCTTTCTATAAGGAACATGATCAAGTGAATGTACATTTGCCTTCTTATATTGGACATGACTGATTGAAATTTGAATGTATCATTCTTTTTCTCCTTCTATTTCCTGATATGTATTTTTCACATAAGCACAAAGAAAGTGTTGATGACAATTCAAAAATACAACTAATTGAAATACTGATGAATATTGGAGAAATAGTATAGCCTACCCTTACTAGCTTGGATGACTTAAGCTTTCTATTTATAGCAGACATTTGTTCTTAGAATAGTGCTGTGTATTTAAATTTTCAAGGGGAAAACTCTACCACATTGCTCTAAGTTTGCACTTGCATGTTTTAATTTCTATCTAATTACTACTTTCATTTTGAATATGTAGGAAAGTTTTGGTGAGCAAATTGGAAATGGCAGCCAAGAGACAATTTGATCTGTTTGAGTTTAATGATGAAGACTTTGGACTACGATTTTTTTATTCCTGATACTATAATAATATATTTGATTTTGCAAGGCTAGCAATTTGCTTTATTCGTTGATGTATTACACAAGAGATTTATTCATTTTTTGAAGTTCATTACAAATATATGCATTTGAATTATTTTCTTGTTATCTTCTAGTTATTTGAGTGCTTGAGATCTTCATACTTAAATGTGATTATCAAATATATATTTTAAAAAAACTTAAATTATTGATTACAATAGCAAGGCTTTTATATATATATATATATATATATATATATATATATATATGGCCTATATAGTAGCATAGGGATTGACAAATTTATGGCCTATATAGTAGCAAAAGCCACGCTTCAAAGGTGTTCTTTTAAGAACTACGCTTAACAAGTGTGGCCTAAAGAGTAACAAAGACCACACTGTTAATATGTTGCCGTACTACATGAAAAGCGTTGCCATAGAGGGAATTCTAAGGTAACACTTGCAAAGCGTTGCCTTAGGGCAAAAGTTAGGCTAGTTTAGGCCACCCTGAAAAAGCGTTGCCATAGGTCGGAAAGTGTGACCTTTGATCAAAGGCCACACTTTTTGATGGTTTAGGCCACACTTTTTAGGTGTGGTTAAAGGCTTAAAATGTTGTAGTGCTTGTTCTGTACGTGTAGTTTCTAGTATTATTGCTATTGATATTTCATCTGTAAATACCATGGTTGATTCCAATAAAATGAATAAATCTGATATTGTTTAGCATTATAGACTTGGACATATTCCCTTTTCCAAAATGAAACTTATTTTTGGTCTTGATGGTGGACTATCATCTAAACAGTCTTTCACCTGTACCATTTGCCCATTAGCGAGACAGACTAGGCTCCCTTTTCCTGATAGTTCTATTCAGTCCACTCACTCTTTCCAACTTATACATATAGATACTTGGAGTTCCTATTCCACTCCTACTCATTCTGGTTTTAAATACTTTCTTACTATAGTAGATGACTATACCAGGGCTACCTGGACATATTTGATGGGGGCAAAGAGCAATGCTTTTGATTTGTTAAAAGCTTTTATCTTTATGGTTGAAACACAGTTTCAAACTAAAGTTCAAACTGTAAGAAATGATAATGACTTAGAGTTAGGTTCCGGTTCTTTTGGTTCTCTTTTCTTTTCTGAGAAGGGGATCATTCATCAAACTTCTTATCACCATACTCCTCAACAAAATGGTGTAGTTGAAAGAAAATATATGAATTTGCTAGAAATTGCCAGGGCTCTCTTATTTCAGTCTCACCTTCCCATTATATTCTGGGGTGATTGTCTTCTTACTGCTACTTATCTGATCAATAGATTTCCTTCTCCCTTCTCAATCACAAGAGTCCTTATGAATTACTATTTGGGTAGGCTCCTTTTTATTCTCATCTCAGGTCTTTTGGCTGCCTTTGCTACTCAACATAGGTCCATCCCATGTGTGTGTATTGGCTACCTCTTTGGCAAAAGGGTTTATAAACTTTATAATTTGTCCACTAAATCCTGCTTTGTCTCTAGAGATGTGATTTTTCATGAGCGCATCTTTCCTTTCTCTAAATCCTCTGTTTGCTCATGTCCAGCTATACCTTCTTCCTTTGTTCCTGGTCAATATTCTGATGATTCCCACTCTTCTCTTTCTTCTCCTGTTCCTGATCCTTCTCCCCAGTCTTCTCTCACCCCTACTCCTCCTTCTCCTCCCTCAAGTTCCCCTGGTTTCAATGTTTCTTCTTTTTCTAGCTCCATTCCCCCTTCTGTTCTCCATTTTTCTCCTCCTCCACTTAGAAGATCTGGCAGACCTCATATTGTTCCTGCTTATCTTCAGGATTATGTATGTCCTACCCTTCTTTCCTCTGCATCTCTTCATGCCCCTTCTAGTTCTGAGTCTGTTTCCTTCAATGCAACCACTACTCAACTCCACATTCCTGAGCCTTACACTTACTCTTAGGATGCTGCTATCCCTGAGTGGCAGGATGTCATGAGAAAGGAGTTTGAGGCTTTGAAGGTTAATAGAACTTGGGATATTGTTGAGTTACCTACTGGTAAAAAGCCTATAAGATGCAAATAGGTATATAAGGTGAAATATAAAGCTTATAGGAGTTTGGAAAGGTATAAGGCCAGGTTGGTTGTTAGGGGTGATACTTAGGTTAAGGGGGTTGATTTTCATGAAACGTTTTCTCGATGAGTAGGTCTTTATGAAGGTGCCTCCTGGTTTTTCTGTTCCTCCTTCTTGCCTTCTTCTGCTCCTTTAGTTTGCAAGATGCTTAAGTCCCTCTATGGTTTGAGACAGACCTCCAGACAATGGTATGATTACTCACTGTTTACTAGGGGTTCTGGGACTTCTTTGGTCATTTTAGCTGTGTATGTGGATGATATCATCCTAACTGGGACTGAATTATGTGAGATTTCCTTCTTAGAAGCCTTTCTGGATGCATAGTTTAGAATCAAGGACCTTGATTCTCTTAATTATTTTCTGGGGATTGAGGTTCTCTATTCTGATTCTGGATTATTATTTTTTGGCAAATTATACTACTAAGCAGGCTGCCTAGTAGTTATTATATTAATAATAAAAGAAAAACCACAATGAAAGAGTACAAGTAAGGGGGGCAAAAGCTACATTAGTGATGTCTCTATGCCTTGGCTATGTAATCATCCATCTGCGCCTCCATTACCTTAAGATTGTAGCCTTTATTGGCTCCTGACATAGTCTCACGAGGGCGAATGATCTCATAGCCTTTTGGATATTTTCCAAAGGTGTAGGACATAAGCAAACACCAATGCGCTAGACCTTACATTACAATTCCTAATGTTCTCCTTCATCAAAAGAAGTTTGTTCTTGACTTAGTGGATTCTTTTGCTTCTTCTGCTATTGTTTGTCCTCTTGCTATTAATGAGAAACGAAAGGCTTCTGTTGGTATGCCTTTGACCAAGCCTGAAGAGTATAGGTGTTTGGTGGGTAAGTTGAATTTCTTGACCCATACAAGGATGATATTAGCTTTGCAGTTCAACATCTCAGCCAGTTCTTGCAGGCTCCTTGTATTCCCCATATGCAGGTTGCTTTACACTTGTTGAGGTATTTGAAGGGCAGTTTTGTGTTTGGTCTTTTCTTCAGTAATTCATCTGATCTTTCCTTGAAGGTCTATTGTGATAGTGACTGGGCTTCTTGTGCTGATAGCCGACGATCTGTGACTGGTTTCTGTGTTTTCCTTGGTGATTCCTTGGTGAGCCGGAAATTTAAGAAGCATCTTGTGGTCTCTTTTTCCTCTGCTGAAACTGAGTACAGGGCCATAAGTAAAGCTGCAGCTGAGGTCACTTGGCTTTCAAGGTTGTTCTCTGATTTTTATCTTCCTTCTTCTTCTCACATTCCCTTATATTGTGACAATCAGGCAGCCTTGTACATTGCACGCAACCTAGTATTTCATGAGCGGACTAAGCATATAGAGCTGAACCGTCATTTCGTCACAGGTAAAATTGGTGATGGGTGGATCAGCTTGGGCCATGTCTCCAGTGATGCTCAAGTTTAAAATGTGCAACTTAAGCAATAGAGGTGACAGGGGGCGTTAAAATAAAGAGGTTATTGGGAAACGTGTCAGGCTAATAGAAGGGAAACAAATTTGAAAGAGAAAAGCAATAAAATTAACAAGACAAGACAAGATTTACGTGGTTCGGCAATTTTGCCTACTCTACGGCCACACAAAGAATAACTCTTTATTAATTGAAGAGAGAAAGAAGAAGTTGAGGGGTGATTTTCAAATGAAAATGCATACCCCTTTTATAGGAATTTGAATGCCCAGCCGAGGTAAGCGCTTACATCATAGGAATGCCAATGTAAGTGCTTATATCATACGAATGCCGATATAAGCGCATACATCATAAGAATGCCGATGTAAGCGCTTACATCATAGGAATGCCAATGTAAGTGCTTATATCATACGAATGCCGATACAAGCGCATACATCATAAGAATGCCGATGTAAGCGCTTACATCATAAGTTCATCTCTTTTTTATTTTTCTTTCTTTTGTTTTGTCCATTTTTCTTTCTTTCACATACAACAACAGGTTTGCTACTATCAATCTCCCCCTCAAACATATGTTACATCAAGAAAGAAATTAAAATAAAGATTTGCTATTCTCTGGTGGCGCCTTCACCCTATCAGTCTTGAAGGCAAACTGAGGCAGTGCACAACCTCAATTTGTCAACACCGACAACTTTGGTCAACATGTCTGACGGGTTCTTTGATCCTGGTATCTTCTGCAGGGAAAGAGTTTCTTCACTTATCAACTCTCAGATATTATGATACCTCAACTGGATATGCTTCAATCTTGCATGAAACACTGGATTCTTGGCAAGATGAATTGCACTCTGGCTATCGCTAAAAAGCTCACAATTGTCATGCTCTTTACCTACCTTTTTAAGAAAATTCTTGAGCCAAATCATCATTTTTCCAGCTTCTGAGATTTCCATATACTCTGCTTCAGTGGTAGATAGAGCAACACTTTTCTGAAGTCTAGACATTCAGCTAACAGCAGTACCACCCAAGGTGAATATATAGCCTGTGGTACTTTTTCGACTATCCAGATCACCGCCTAAATTTGCATCAGCAAAACCTTGTAAGATAATATTGCTCCTTTTAAACCAAAGTGCCATACCTGAGGTGCCTTTGAGATATCGCAATATCCATTTTACATCTTCCCAATACTCCTTTCCTGGATTTGACATATATCTACTGACAACTCCAACTGCATGGGCTATGTCAAGTCTAGTGCAAACCATAACATACATCAAACTTCTTGCTGCTGAAGTATATGGAACTTTGGACATGTATTTCCTTTTTTCATCTTTCTTAGGTGATTGGTCCTTCGACAGATTAAGATGGCTTCCGAGTGGAGTGCTTCTGGTCTTTGCATCATGAAGACTGAACCTGCTTAGTACCTTTTGTATGTACTTTTCTTGAGATAATTTTAAGGTTCCTTCAGACCTGTTTCTGCTAATCCTCATCCCAAGCATTTGCTTAGCTGGTCCTAAGTCTTTTATTTCAAACTCCTCCGGCAGTTGTTGCTTAACCCTGTTGATCTCA